GGGCATGGCTTAATTTCCAGGACAGACCCCATCTAGGTTGTGAGTGTCCCGACAGTAGGATGCTGTCTAAAACCTGCGCGTGCACTCGTCCACTCACCTTGCAGGAGCGGGGTACTGTGACTGCCCTGCTTTCCATATGGGGGAGTTGAGGCATTTACCTGTTTAGCAGTTATCTGAGGCCACCTCACCCAGGGTCACACAGGCAGTAAGCAGTGAACTCGGGGCTTGGCAACTACAGCTGTCTTCCTCCAGTGTCCAGGTAGGACCCATGCTCTGGAACTAGACTGTCACAACCCCAGTAGCAGTCAAGATTCAAACCTGGGCCAGATCCCTCGGAGCCTCTTCTGGGCAGCTCAGCTCTCCCAGCCCCACCTCCTCCCTGGGGACACCAACAGAGCCCAGGCCTCACATTTTGTGGCACTTGGGCATCGGGGGAGAGGGAGACCCTGAGAAGGTGGGAATGGGGGATCCACCTCCCTCACAGTGATGAGCAGTTTGGTAAACAGCCTGTTCCAGGCATTTGCAAAGTTCCAGGGAGGGAGGCAGTCCTCCTGTCTAAGCCCTTTCTCACGGTCTGTCCAGGTACCCTCCTTCTAATGTGAGGGTCAGACTTTCCAGCACAGTGGGCATCTGGACGCCAGGCCCATGGCACGAGTGTTGCTCTCCAGGCCCTCCCATTGGTCTCCAGGTTCCATGCTCACCACCAGAAGCAACACGGAGCCCAGATGGGAGTCCTTCCTCCACTTAATGGGAATTGACCAGCCCTCACTCTGCTGGGCCACCTTAGCTCCCAGCCTCAATTCCCTTGCCCGTGTGCCCCTGTGTGTTCCAGGAGAAGAAACAGCGCCGGGCTGAGAACCTGAGGCGACGCCTAGAGAACGAGCGGAAGGCTGAGGTGGTCCAAGTGGTAAGTGTCCCCTGGCCACTTGGCTGAGGCAGACATGGCTGGGCCAGGTGAGGCCTTTGAGCTGCCTTTCCCATGTCTGTTCCTGCTGTGATCCCAGACCCCTGCAGGGTGGCTTCCCTCTCCCACAGGGACAGGGAAGCTCCTCCCAGTACACTAATGACTCTCCTCCCACCCCCAGATCCGAAACCCTGCCAAACTCAAACGGGCAAAGAAGAAGCAGCTGCGCTCCATTCAGAAGCGGGACACGCTAGCCCTGCTGCAGAAACAGCCACCCCAGCGGCCAGCAGCCAAGGTCTGAACTCAGGACAGCCAAGGCCCTCCAAGACCAACAACCACATCAGACATGGCCATCTGGCCTCTCAGGTCACTAGTCAGACATCTCTGCTGGAGCCAGCACTCCAACTCTGTGGCCTCAAGACAGGGATTCCACCCTGGACAAGACTCTTGGGCTTTTGAGGGATCTTGGGCATGTCTCTGGGGGCAGAGCCTAGGGGAGGGAAGAGGTTCCAGTCCTCTCTCCTTCCCCATCCTCCAAAAACCTTCAGACTAAGAACAGTAAAGTCTGGTTTCTCATTGAGCTAGCAGTACGTGTCCTGTCTGAGGGTCTTGGGTCCAGCTCAGGCCTGGAGGCCAACAATCGGGAACCCAAGTCCCTTACACCTTCCCAGAGGCTGCTTTGGCTACTTCTGCACCCCATTAACTCTGTCCCCTGGCAAACTGAATCCAGCTCCTCCCCACTTGAACACTGAAGGTTTAAAATGGGGAGACTGCAGGAAGCAGAGTCAGTTTCTAGCAGCCCCTTTCCTATACCAGACTGCAGAAGTCCCACAGATCTAAGCCGTGCCCATCTGGTCTACAACAAAATTATTTATTGAATACCTCTGGTATACAGGTACAATTCTGGGCACCAGGGAATACAGACAAAAGTCCCTGCCCTCGGGAGCTTTTATTCTGATGGGAAAAACATAAGCAAATCAAGTGTGTGGTGTGTCTGGTGTGAAAAGTGTTGAGAAACAGCAGGAGCAGGAGGCCATACAGGGTGACATCTGGCTATCCAGTTTGCAGTGCACATGCTATGGGCTGCCCTGCCTGGCACCCAGAATTAACAGCTGGCCACCCTGGTCCTTGGTGGCCCCAGCCTTCAGTGGTCAGGAGTAATGGACCAAGATCACAAGACTTTCTCATCCCTGCTCTTCCACTGATATTCCGCAAACCAAACAAATATGTGCTGGCACCAGCTGTCAGTCCTTGGCGTGCAGCGCTGAGGCATTAGGGACCATGGAGTGGAAGTGCTACACAGGTACAAGCTGCCCCTCCTGTGCCCCCATGTGGGCAGGTGGCAGGTGCTGCAAAGACCTTGGGATTAACTGTCCAGAGGGCATCTTGTAGGATGCCAGTCCTGTGCAAATCTCAGGATGCCATGGTCAAGTTCACTAGAAAATGTCATGTGCCGTGAATTGCTGTGTCCATTCAGATACCAAAGGCTAGACCTCCAATAACAATGCACAGTGACTTGGATTAGCCCAGGTTTCCCAAGCACTTGACCATGGCACCCCCGGGGCTCTTAAGTAGCTTGGGTAGGTCTTAGATGTGCTCTCAGAATAGGAATGGAGTGAACAGGGTGCAGACCCTGCACACAACACAGTTAAGCTCCCTGAACCCCAAGAAGCTAATCCTGAAGATTTGCAGAAGAAAGCATCTAGTTCAAACCTTGGCTGAGTACCTAACCTGAATGCCTTAATCTGGAATGGTGCTTCTCAAACCTTTCTCATTTTACTCCAAAAATTTGTACAACTATCCTACCCTAGCCTTCCACAGTCACACAGCTGGTAAAATTGGGCTCCAGGGAGTTGTACCATTGGGACTCTGTCTGCTGGTCTAAGAAGTCATTATGAGTTTAGCTTCCTGTGACTCCAAGTGTGGTCCTTGGATCAGCAGCACTTAGTGACTGCCTGGGAAGTATTAGAAAAGCAGAATCTCCCGCACCCCGCCCCACTCACTGAAATAAACTAACAAGATCCCAAGGTGACTTATAGGCACGTCAAGGTTTGAGAAGCCCGGTTTCAACCAGGTCAGTTTCTGAAAAAACTTGAGTCACCCAGGTCGCTTCAAAACGCTGACTCTCAGCGCTCACGAGCCCTTGCGGTAGTCTTGACGCTTGATTCGAGCCTTGCCTCTGCCTTGGGGAGAAAGCAGGTCCGAGCCCTGCGTTCCGGGCTGCGCAGGCCATTGAGCTAATCCGAGGTGGTGCTCAGCGCCCGGTTCAGGGGTCCCCTTTCGTCTTGGGATCGTGCCCGGTCGCTCTGCGAAGGCGCTGCGTTGTTGCCTCGAAGCCAGCGGAGGAGGCGCTCCGGGCGGAGCGGGGGCGCGAGGCGGCCCGTGAGCGAGAGGGAGGAGGCCGAGGTGGCGGAGGAGGAGGCGCGACGGCGGCGGCTGCCCGCCCAGCCGCCCAGGTCGCTGTCGTCCACCAACACGCTCTCGAGCACTGTGCGCAACGAGCGCCGCAGCTTGCGCACCACGTCGGGGCAGGTGAGCACGTAGAGCAGCGGGTTGACCACGCTGTTGATAAAGGCCAGGCTGGTGACGAAGGGCAGCCCGCGCCACACAAGCGGCCGCAGCGTAGGGACTGCGTGCGCCCGCGCCTCCAGCAGGCAGAAGATGTGGTAGGGCCCCCAGCAGAGCACGAAGGCGGCCACGATGGCCGCCACCAAGCGCACGAAGCGACCCGGCCGACGGCGGCCCCGGTGGCGAAGCTGCACGCTCACAGCCGCATGGCTTGAGGCGATGATGGCCAGCGGCACCACGAAGGCCAGCAGGAACTTGCTGACCGCCAGGGCGGTCTGGCGCGAGTCGCACGTGGCGTCGCGGTCAGGCCCGGGGTTCAGGAGCAGCACGTTGTAGTAGCACATGATGCGCCCGTCCAGCCGCGGGATGGTGTCCCGGAACACGAAATAGGGCACGGTGTTGAACACAGCCAGGACCCAGAGCACCAGACAGACTTTGTGGGCCGCGGCCACCGTGCGGTGGTTCTGCGCCCACACCGGCCGAACCACCTGCAGACAGCGGTCCAGGCTGATGGCGCTGAGCAGGAAGCCGCTAGCAAACATGTTGAGGAAGAAGATAGAAGAGTGCAGTTTGCAGAAGGTGGTGCCCAGGTCCCATGAGTGTCCCACGGCCAGGAAGTAGGTGAAGAAGGGCAGGGAGGCAGCGGCCAACAGGTCAGACAGCGCCAGGTGCAGCACCCAGGTGGTGACCACCGTCTGTCGCATGCGACAGCCCACTACAAAGAGGATGAGTCCATTCTCCACCAGGCCCAGCAGCGAGGCCACCCCGTGCAGCAGCACAGACACGTGGTCGATTAAGCGGATGCTGGAGTTGGTGTGGCTCTGTAGTTGGCTCATCTGCTCCAAGAGCGGACAGAGTGGCTTCAGGGTGGTGTTGGCCAACATGGCGGAGCTCTGTGGTGGAGAAGGACACGCTGAGTCTGGCCGAGCTGGGACACCCTGGGAACCAGAGAGAGCCCTGGGAACCTTGCTAAGAGATAAGGTGACCTGCCAATGTGATAGGTGGGGCCACTGGGGACCAGTGACATTGAGCAAAGTTGGAGTGACCAACATCCCAGCTCCACCACCTGCTCCCTGTGGGACCTTGGGCAAGTCATTGAACTTTCCTGAGCCCGTTTCCTCCCCTGTAATGTGGGTGTTCCTCATAACTATCTCTAACTCATGGGCTATCAGAATAAAAATAAAATAAACTCATGAGTTAATATGCAAAAAGGCCTGGTCCACAGAACTGTGTTTAATGGAGGTCAGGCCGTGCAGAATTCCTTTTTGCTGTCCCAGAGCACTGGTGGATGGACACAGCCCCCATATGGTGCAGGAGCTTTGCAGCCACCTGGAGAGAGGGGGCGGGAGGAGGAGTCTCCACCAGCCCTCCCCAGAACCCCAGGCTTTGCCTCTGCAGGTCCTCCGGAGTCTGTTGGTCACACAGAGGTGGCTGGCTGGGTGTGTTGACCGCAAAAAGCAGAGCTGGCCCCTCCTCTGATAGTAGGAAAGGAAATGAGATAAGAAGAGAGAGAGCTGGGCACGAGGACCCACCCGATGGCCCCGGGGTACCAAACAAACCCTCCTCCCAGGGGCAGCCATAGCAATGCTACCAATCCCAGGAAACCCACCCCTGTTCATTTTCTCACTCACCCACACACCCCCCAGCAGCTATTTATCCAGTCACTACCCCGCGCTGGAGAAGCCAGAATCTGACAGACACAGCACACAGCCACACATGCTCACAGCCTCAGAGAATCCCAGAGCCCTCCGGTGAAGACTCGGGTGAAGCTGATGGAGATCGAGGAGGGTTGACTTGGGGTGGAGGCTCCCTGCTGTGGAGAGGGGACAGAGCAGGGCATGGGAGCTCAGGATGCGCTGGGCACTCATGACACGCCAGGGACCCTGGAAGGTCCTTTGCATAGGTGCTCATCTTTCTCATGGCTCTGAGAGAAAGGTGCTAGGCTCTGTCCCTGCCACTTTCCAGATGAGGAAACTGAGACAGGAGTGTTTGAAGAACTCGCCAATTCACCCAAGCAGCACAGCCACACAGAGGAGCAACAGTGTGGCACTAAGCCAGGGACGATGGAGGAAAGAAGAGAAAGACAGGAGCAATGGCCTTCAGTGCTCCTCTTCCCAGCCCAACACCTGGCCGGCTAGGATGGCAGAGGGTGAGAAAATCCACTCCCTCCAGGGATCCTGCTCTTTGCAGGTTGGGCTCCTGGGATCCACACTAGACTTTCCCTGGGAGATGGGTCCCTTGAAGCTGAGCTCTGCAGGTGGGTGGGAGGGGAGCTGGCCTGTGTCCCCTGAGAATGGTGCTGCTTCCCAAGCTTTCTAGTTTGCAGTTACCTCCCAATAACCCCATGAGACCCGATTTTGCAGTGAAGCGTGGCTTCTCTGTCCTCGGCTGCAGCAGGGGCTGGGACTCTCCTCCCAGCACACCAGGTGCATGCCATCCCCTCTCAGCCCTAATGTTTGCCTGAGTCCCATGGGATGCTCGGAGAGCACAGTCCTGCTGGACCCTCTGGAGCCATCTACCTGGTCCCTCTGGCTGCATGGAGACAGCCCCCATCCTCCGTCCCAGCAGCTGGGGTCCTGGGGTGCAGGGGCCCAAGAACACAAGTTTGGGGAGTCCAAGTCCTGGGCTTGATTCCAGGCTCCTTGGCTTCCAGGCTGGGCAATCCTGGGCAGTTACCTCAAGCCTGCTGGTGCCATCTTCCCCCAGCTCAACGACTGCCACTGTGCCTGGCCTCTAGTTAACGCCTGAGAAAGCTGACTCCTTCCACCCTCTGAGCAGCAAGTTCCCTCCCGCCTGGTAAACTCACTCCTCTGCCATCCTGTCCGGTAGCAGCCCTCTGTTCTGGTAAAATTCTGCCCTCTCCTGTGGGTCCAGAGGGGGCACTAAGGCTGCCCAGCCCTGGACCGTGGCCTCCTTACCTGGGCACAGAGGGAGCACAGGATTCCAGCCCTGCAGGCACTTGGCTCCTAGCAGCAGCCAGACAGAGGCGTGGGGCAGGCGGAGGGAGGGGAGGAGTGAGGCTGAGGGAGGAAACAGCTGTCAGCTCCAGTGTGTGTGCGCGCACGTGTGTGTGCATGTGCTTGTGTGTCTGTCTGGGGGCGGGAGGCAGTGATAGCCAGAGATTGAGCTCTCACGCTGGTGATCGAGAACCATTCATCCATCTGCCAGCAGCCCCTGCTCCACCGAGTCCTTTATGGAGGAGTCTTTGCAGCCCAAGGACACTGCGAGTGTGCACGGGGCCATCCCTGTGTGCAGCAAAGTGGGGACTCGGTATGTCCAGGGGTGTGCTTTGGAGTGACCAGCGTGCAGGAGGATGAGGACTATGCCTTGCCCTGCTTTCCACCCTCCTTGGACCGCTCTCTTCTGACACCGTAGTCCTCAGAGAGGAAGGTCCCCAAGTGGCATGGGTGCCTGTGCACCAGGGACCCCAGGAAAGCAGGGGGATAGGAGGAGCATGGGAGGCCTGGCCACCAGCGCTGGCCCCACACCCACAGCCAGAGGCCGGTCACTTCCCCTTGCTGAGCCCCGCGTTGTCATCTGTGAGCAGGACCAGTGTCTGCTTTGAGGCAGAGGCGAGGGCTGGCCGAGGGGAGTCAGGGGGCTCCGCCACTGACCCATCCCCAGCCCTTTTTTGTATTTTTTTTAGAGGAGAGAGTAAGGGCTCGAAAAAATTAGCTTCTTCCCCCGCTGGGGGAGAAATGGGCACAGGCTAGAGGCCAAGGCTGTCCGGGTTTCATTTAGAATAGGCTGGAAGCCCTGGGGTAAGAGAACTTTGAATCCTGTAGTTTGCACTTCATCGTTCCCTAACCTCGCCCTCTGCTTTGCTTTTGGGGGTCAGACTCCCTTTCTTCACAGCAGCCCGCAGATGCTCAATAAAACATGTCAAGACCGAGTCAGGACAGAGGGCAGGGTGTCCCACTGAGGCCTGGGCTGGCGCCCAGCCTGGGTGGAGGGTGGATGAGCAGGACAGCACTTCTCCCAGCCCCGGTGGTGAAGCAGCGGGGACCTTGCTCACCCGGCCTCTGCCCTGGGCCAGGGAGGCCTGGACGTCCAAACACAGAGGCCTGCAGCCTCCCGAGAAACAGGTGGCTGTTTCCACCCACCCTGGGGAAGTGCCCCCATCCCTGCCCCCCCACTGATCCATGGGAAGGCCATTCAGGCAGGGCGCAGGGTGCTGAGGCCCCAGGACCCTGCAGCCAGACCGCCAGTGTCTGCATCCGGCACTGCCTCTTCCTAGCTATGCGACGAGGCGAGGAGCTTCAGGCGGTATGATGTGACTCTGGGGGCCAGCGGGGGCGGAGGGGATACCCGAGATGAACTTGGGGCGCTCCACCGCTGAGCCACATCCCCAGCCCTTTTCTGTATTTTATTTAGAGACGGGGTCCCACTGAGACTTCGCACCTCGCTTTTGCCGAGGCTGGCTTTGAATTCGTGATCCTCCAGCCTCAGCCTCCTGAGCCATTGGAATTACAGGCGTGCGCCACCGCACCCGCAAGATGTGAATTTTAAAAGGTACTCCTTCTGCGTAGTACCAGCCCCGAGTGCTGGGGTTGGAGCACAGGCTGCTCTGTGGAATAAGAAATGATCACCCCTCTCCCCTACAGACATATCTCAGCCTAGGGCATCAGGCTGGACATGAGGCACAGGCCTCTCTCTGGATCTCAGCCATCTCCTGACTCCTCCAACCAGTCACCCTTGTGCAGTGAACATCCCGCACCACCTCTCATGGCAGCCCCTTTGTTCATTTCCAGCTAAAATCTTTATTCCTCTGAAACTTCTCTGTTCTTGTTTCCAATCCTGGAATCATTGTCATGGCTTGGTTCCCAGCCCTCCCTGAGGACAACTTATTCTAAACAAACAAAAAAGTTACTAAATTCTACTAGTTACTAAAATAAGTAAACAAACAAAAAGATATTACATGTGAGCAGGACCCTGAGTCATTTTCTGAAGAAAAGAAGGGCGTGCACCCTGTTCTTCATGTCCCAAGGGGCTTTGGGGCCCTTGGCTGCACTCCCATGGTGGAAATGGTCCCGGCACACACACTGAGAGCCCTGAGCCCCACAGCAACTACCCATTGGGTGGGTAGGAGACAGAAGTCGGCCTCTTCCCCTGGGGTTTCAGGAACCAAAAGCCAACACCAGTCAGTCCAAGAGGAAGAGTCTCCGAGGGTGTTGGAGCAGTGGGGGTGCTGGGTGGGGGTTCACTGGCTGGGTGTAAAGGACAGATGGCTCCGAGTGACCAGGGGACACACATTCAGCCTGAGTCTAGGAGAAAAGGCATTCAGAGGCTCAACGGAGCCACGGATGCGTCAGGCCTTCACTGGGGGCAGGAGGCCACCAAGACTGTTAGATGGGTCCTCACATGGAGTCCCGGGAGGGTGACCAGGCCTTGGCAGACTCCTGACAGCACAGACCTTGATTTCCCATGACACAGGACCCCCTGAGGGCCTCAGTTGCTGGGCCTCTGACCCAGGCCTCTGACCTCGCAGGTCCAGGTGGAGCCGGGAATTTGCACTTCTGTCACATCCCCTGGGGAAGCCGCTGCTGCTAGGCCAGAGTCCACCCCGAGACGGAACCTCTGAGCCAGATCCCAGTCACACGAAGGCTGAGGAGGGGGTCGCAAGTTCTAGGCCAGCCTGAAGTGAGACCCTGTCTCCAAATGAGAGATAAAAGGGCTGGAGGTGTCACCTGGTGGCAGGGCACCTGCCTAAGCAGGCACAAGGCCCCGGCCCAATCCCAGGACTGCAGAAGGACACAAAAGGCCAGACCTGGACGAGGTCTTGGGAGTCCTTGGGCCTGGTGCCCTGACGGCAGGGGACTGGTCAGACAGCCCTCTTAGCCGAGGGCCTGGGAGCGAGCGCCCCTCTGAGGCTGCGCCCCCATAGGAGGACGGGGTGATAAGGAGAAGGCACTCAGCCCCCAGCCGGGCAGAGTGAGGGGCAAGTACAAGTTCCTGGAATTGTCTGAGGGGTGTGCTTTGGGGACATCGTGGGCTTGGCCAGCCAGAGCTGCCCTGGGGGTTATAGGTCAGGGGGCAGGAAGCTGGTCAGCCAGGGCCTCAGGCCCAGGAAGCCTTCTGACCCAAGCAGGGGCAGGGCTGGGCCCACGAGCCACAATCACCAGGCTTCTGTGAGCAGCTGGGGACCAGGGCTGGGGGCCAGGTCCTCAGCCCCACCACACCCTGCCCTGCCCTGTGTCCAGTTCCCTCAGAGCTGGAGAAAGGCACAGCTGCCTCCAGGGCCCTGCAGTCCCTGCAGTCCACCCCCCCGCCCCCAGGCCAGAGCCTGAAGTCACAGTAAGAGCAGAGGCCGGGCATCCTGCAAGGGCACCAGCTCCCCCCGCAGGAGACGGCTCGCAGACCTGGGCTCCATAGCCAGGCTCCCCAGTCCCCTGGCCCCGCTCCCTCACAGCCCCCTGCGCCCTCCCCCCACCTCACCTGCCCAGCCCCTCTCCCCCCAGGCCTTTGCCAGGCTGCCCTGGAAAGCCTTCACACTCAGTCTCACACACACACACATACTTACACACACACACTTACACATACACATGCATGTATGCACTCACAAACTTGCAAACACACAATCACACATACGTGCACTCACGCACTCACGCACACTCACACATATGCACACGCACACACTCACCTTCATGCACACACTCCGCACACACAAACTTGTTAACACAATCACACACTCTCACACTCACACTATTCTCATTCTCACATAACACACATAAAATCACACACTAATACACTCACATACTAATACACATGCTCACACTCATGCATACTTGCTCACACACATATACTCACATATGCTCATACATCCACACTCACACACAATCACATCCACCTATACAACTTTCACACACACACAATTGCTATCACACACAAACACCAACACACTTTCACACTAGTACATATGCTCTCACACACATGGACCATCACACACTTACAAATATACACACTTAGATATATGCACGCACAGCCACACTCACACACTTGTATTCTCACACACTAGTACGCACACTGTTCACACACAGTCATGCACATGACCACACATACGACACACTCTCACACATTCGTTCACATGCTGACACATACACTTGCTCACACACAACTCAACAAAATCACACCAGCACTCACACACATCACACTCCCACACCATCTCACACTAACACACGTGCACTCACACACACCTTGCTGGTCCTGCAGGCTCCTTCTGAGACCACCGTGTCTGGGCCCAGGAGGGGCGCTCGGCACCAGTGCGTCTCGTGCACACAGAGGCCAAGACAGGACCGTCCCGGGGCCAGCTGTGCTGCCCGGCCCTGCCCTAGGAAGCGAGGATTTCAGTTCCTCTCTGGCCCCTTGGAGAAGTCAGTCAAGGAGGAAGTGAGGCACAGGGCAGGAAGCAGCCAGGAACCTGGCACCCACCAGCCCCAGTGCCGGAGCCCTCAGGTGCCCACACCCAGCCGAGCAGCAGCCCCACAGGACCCCACAGGATATCTTGTGGGGGCCCAAGTGGGTTCCCCGATGCCAACCTCAGCCACAGGAAGCCTGCCTCCTCACACGACCCGCCAGCCCCTCCTGGGCCCCCACCTGCATCGCTGCTGCTGCGTCACCCCCAGCGCTCACCACCGCACGCCTGCTGGGCCTGCGCGCCCTTCTGCTGCTTGCTCCCTGCTCTGGAATCTCGGTCCTTCCCTTGGCCTCTTGGTGAACTCCTATGCATCCTTCAAAACCCTAACCACGGAAGCTTTGCCGATTGTCTCAGGAAGACCTTACCTCTCGCTCCACCCTCCCACGTCTCTAAGTCACCGTGTCTGCGGCCACCCTTGCCCTCTGGAGGCCCCTTTCACCAGCTGCTCCCACCCTCCTGATGAGCAGCAGACATCCTTCCTATTTTATCTCCTTTTCTCCAAGGCCAAGCAGAGGGCCTGCCTATGGGAGGGTCCACGTGCAGACCCCACGGCCCCAGGTCCTCAGGGCAGCGCTGGCTGCGCCCCGTGCTCCCCAGGGCTGGAGCAGCTCTGTGGCTGTCTTCACCCGCGCTGGCCACAGCCCGGAGCTGATGTCTTAATGGTAGGAAGGGAGGGCAGAGGCAGAGCGCCGGGCAGGCCCTGGACTTAACGCTCAGTCTCAGGTGGGTGTGCTCCAGGGCCAGGCGGCCCCCGGAGCTCTAGTCCCGGCTTCCCTGACTCGGCTTCCCGGTCCCCCCTGTGTCTCATAAGACACTTGTCATTACCCGGACAATCCAGGGTGACCTCATCTTGAGATCCTTAACTCGTTTATATCTGTAAAGCCCTTTAAATAAGGTCCCAGTCAGGGGTTCCTGGGTTAGGGAGTGGGCATATGTTTTTGAGGGTCACCATGGAACCCACTACAGATAGTCAGGCTAACGTTGAGAGGCATTGTGCCAGCCCCGCGAAGCACTTGTCATACACTGGCGAGTTTTACCCCCACACTTACCCTCTGAGGCAGATATTGTTCTTGTCCCCACTTGCAGAGGAGAAGACTAAGGCTCAGAGAGGTTAGGTAACTTGGCCTAAGCTGCTCAGCCAGTGAGCAGAGGAGCTGGATTTCAGAGCCAGGTGTTCCAGCCCCAGCGCCCAGCTCATCCCAGCTGACTGCATTTCTCTGAGGTTCTTTGTATCCTGCAGGAGAAGCAGAGCTGCCTTTGATGTTCAGTGTGCACCCCCAGCCTTCCGGAAACATCTCTGCCACGGGCAAGATCTGCGTGGTGCGCAGTTGGGTCTTCCCTGGTCACTCTGCAGGCCACTGAGCTAAGTGACCTGTTCCCTGCCTGGGCCTCCCCTGGTGCCCTCCCTTTGTCCCTAGGTGGGGCTGAGAGGACACAGTGGGCACTGACACTGAAACCTCCCAGCATCATCATTCTTAGTCCCGTGTTTCAGATTAAGAGACTGAAGTCCTGCCTTTAAAAATTAAAAGAATTAGGTTTAAAAGGAAAGTGGAATAAACAGGCTGAGATTTAGGAAGCGACTCAGGGAGGAATATCAGCAACCTTAAGTTAGATACTGCCACTAGCCCCAAGGAAAGCATGTCACAGAGCAGGTGACATTCAACGTCTCCGGCAGGTGAGTGGTGGAGCTGGGATCCCTCCCAGACCCAGGAGGTCTGGCACCCATGAGTGTCCTCAGTGCCCTCTCCAGGATGGTGTAGTGTCATTTCCTCAAAGGCCTCTGAGTGGGTCAGCTTTGCATCCATTATGACAAAATGCCTGAGAAAGTCTCCTATAAGGAGGGAAGACTTATTTTGGCTCCTGGCTTCAGAGGTTTCAGTCCACAGTTGGTTGGCTCCATTGTCTTGGGTCTGTGAGGAGGCAGAACACTGCAGTGGGGACCCATGTGGAGGGAAGCTGCTCACATATGCAGCCAGGAAGCAGAGGGAGTGAGGGAGGGGCCAGGGTCCCGCCTCTGTCCAAGGGCACGCCCCCAGTGACCTCACTTCCTCCCCTAGGCCCTGCCTCCTGAAGGCTCAGCCCCGCTGGTGCTGCAAGCTGGCAGTCAAGCCTTCAGCACGTGGCCTCTGAGGACCATTTAAGATCCAAACCACAGCAGCATCTTCCTGCCCCTGGCCATAAGCCAGCTGCCCATTTCCAGGGCCTTGGGAGACGTGCTGTCCATGGACCCGAGGTCAGTTAGGCGACACCTCTCTCATTCCCTAATTCCTTCCCACCATCACTACTCTCCTCTGTATCTTCAAACAATAGGCAAGTGATTCCCAGGGCACTGTGCTCGTAAGCAAGGGACACAGGTCTCTGTGCCTGACATCCCAGCGCGGGACCGCCCTCCACAACACCCAGTTCACAGGGGTGGAAGGAGGGATGGGGCCAGAGATG